GCCACGAGCAGAGATGTCTGCGCTCACCAGGGGAGAAGAGGGCATTTCAGCCTGTGAAGCTGATTGCGCTGGAAGTGTTTGCTAATAGAGGTGTCAATGAAGTAAAGGAGTTTCAGTACCTGAGTTAACTAGCTGTTGCTCCATGACCCCGCAGCCCAGGACCTCCATCCATTCTCCTTGGAAGTTGATCTCCATCTCAAAGGAAGGGTGAGTAAACGGGAAGTAGCAATCTACCCATCTGACTTGCAGTCCTGTAGCAGTGTTTTAAAAAAAAAAAAAATAAATATGAAGGGAGTATGCTTAAAAGGCCATCCCCCCAACCATCTGTAAAATTTGCCCTTCAACTAATGACACCAATTACAGCAATCCAGAGAAAATGAATAGCAAACAAACTAATTTACAACACTTGTGCAAGGTGATAAATCTTAAAACTTGTGGAAAAAAATGACCATGTCTTTTCTAATATGAAAAAGGCTTTGTGCAATTCAAGCACCCTTTGAAACCAAATCAATCATTTGTCAAACTCTAGCAACCACCTGGCATCGAACAAAAAATGAGCCAAGATCATGGGAAAGTCAGTAATTTTGTTATTCTTTGCACCAGGAAATGACTAACTACTGCTCGCAGGAAAAGCGAAGTCTTTGATTTTTTTTACTTAGTATTTTATGGATCAGCTAGGCAAGTAATTTTTTTTCCATCAAGCCTACTTAAAATACCTTTCTGTATATGTTTAAATAGGAAAGTTTAAAATAGATATTAATACACACAAATATAAGTATGCATAGACAGAGTTGGACATTATTAAGGTACGCTATGCACCAAGACACACAGAGTACTCTGGACCCAGAAGACAAGAGTTTAACTTTCTGTGGATGTGAAGTGTAAGAGAAAGGCACCACTGGGTAACTCCCCAGCTCAGCACCTCCGAATTAACCACTGCGCAGAGCAAGGAAACCCCCGGCATTGGAAAGGAGCGGAGCCAGGAGACACCAAGGTCTACAGTGCTGCCAAATCAGAGGTGTTGTCAAGGCCCTCATTATATTTGATGAGCTTTAGTTCTTGTAGTCATTTACACATGCTTTCTTTTGCTAAAGAATTTTTTCTAGCCATTAGGTGTCAGGAAAAAAAAGTCTCAGAAACACGAACCATAAAAGCTTGAAAGAGAATTGAACTGCAAACTCTGTGGGCTAATGCCTTAACCCCAAACCCATTTTCCCTTCAGTTAAGCCAAATATTAATCAGCGTTAGGATCATTAACAACCGGGCAAGTACAGTTTTAAAAATAAAAGGCACAGCAAAGGTGGTTTGGGTGATGGTAACTGTTCACACCCCTTGTTTGATTTTTGTGCTTTTTTGGTTTTGGTTCATAAAAGGAACTTAAAACATGAAATTGCATGATTCACACTCAGAGTTTTTTCAAAGGAAAACATTTGTGTAGCCTCAAGGATTAGATTTTGTCTGATTATATCCGAAACGTTAAACGTGGCTACAGAAACTGAAACAGTGTTACAACACAAGTGCACAGCCATAGTCAAAACATAAAATACCTCAATAGTTACAGGGAGCTTTCCTTGATGCTATGAACTTTCAAAGGGAGAGGCAGGTTTCAAAACAAACACATTGGTACTTCCAGATTTTTTTTTTTTCTCTCAAGAATCAACCTCAGGAAATCATACAAATGATAAAAAAAGCATTCTGATACTTTTACACACAGAACTCAAAACTGGAAGCATTAGCAATTATATAGTTCATAACTGTGACTTACAGCAATCACTTTATTGCTTTTTTGTTTGCATAACAATAAAAAATACATAAATGCAAAAAAAGTCAAGTGTATACAACAGTATGGTGTGCAGAAAGCATTTTTTTAATTTCCCGATCTTGGTACAAATGCATCTTTAGTCCTAGGGCTGTACAGCTCTGCATTCACTGTAAAGCCATGCACGTACAAAATATCTTCATTTAGCTAGGAAAATTTGCAACCACAGCAAGAATGACATTGAATATTCAAGTAGTTTCATGTTCAGTAACAACATTCGGATAATGGTTTCTTTTTAATCCTCCAATTACTTCAAAATGAAGCTCTGATAAAAAAGGGGGTTTCTGCTTTTTATTTTTAATTAAAATAAATTTTAAAAAGTAAAAAAAAATTAAAATATTTTTAAATTTTGAATGCATATTAGTACTTGAAGCATTTGTTTTAAATGCAAATAAGAAGCCCCCCCAAAATCTGAAGAAAACAAAACAAATTCACAATGAAGAAACAACTGTTGCCTTCAATCTGTTCTCTAAATTAATAGTTAATCCCATATACCACAACAATTTTATTCATACAGTAGCAGGACAATTGGGAATACCTCTGTAGTTTACATTCAAGTGTTCTTTCAGATTTCCGGCTCTAGAAGACTTTACTGAAAAGCAGAGGGTGCTCAGCCTGCGGCAAGATTAAGCCTTCTAACTGCATTTCTACAGACTGTCACAGAATAAATGGGTACATTTATTATTTAGATACAAAATATTGTCTTGGTGCTCAATATATTCCCAAGGAATAAAGGACATTGCTCACACTCAGCAAATTAAACCACTAAAGACTTAAAAGGATTACGAAGATTAGGCTTCCTGCAGTACCATATAATTTACCTGATTAGGCCTAATTTATTTCTTTACATACGGCCTGTGAAATGCTGGCAAAAATGATCTTTTCTAGAAATTTTAGGAGGGCAAGGAATGCTTATCCGTCTTAAAACCCAGAGGCACTTGGAAGAGCACAAAGACTGATCACTGGATACAAACTCAGTAATTTCCCTCGTTCAGGGAGGTGGTTTCTATTAGCAGAGGACACCTGCTCGTTTCACAGCCTCACAGCATTCACAGAAGTCCTCCCACATCCGTTAGTAACCCACGTGTCACATCTCTAAAATGTATGGAAAAAACAATAACTATTCACTTTTCCCCGAGTACTGAATCCAGGCAAGGAATTGGTCATGGTCTGCACTCAAAAGTAATGGTGTTATCAGATATTAAGCTAAACAAGTATCTGTCAGTGCTAGCCTAATTGAGTCTCATAATGAAAAAGGCTTGACCAAAGGCACTAAAAAAGAAAGAAATGAAAAAAAAAAAACCCCAACACATTAAAGCAGCCTATTGCTATGCTACAGCACAGAAGCAACAAAGCCAGAGACCCAGATGGTCTTCACTGACCAGAAATTCTCTTTGTTGCTGTGAGGATTATTTTTAGAGAAGGAGTCTATGATAGAAAAAGGAGAGAGATGCAGGGGAGGGGGTGGTGCTGGGGAGCACAGAAGGTATGGAGCCATGGCCACTTGAGGGGTGCGTTGATTTTTAAGTACTCTGCACCTCATTGCTTCAGCTAATTCATCTCACTTGCAGCAGACAGGAGCTGGCTGCCCATAAGCCTATGTTAGCTCACATTATTATTAGCCAGATCATTATGTCCTCAATAAATGATTTTTTTTTAACTCCTTACATTCATAGATCTACATGCACTCAAAGGGGATATCAGTACAACAGAATTAAGAAGAAGAAAGAGCAGAATGTGTTTGATTTAAAAGGCATCCAGTGGCTGTTCAGTCAGAACCAGCAGCGGCAGAGCCATCAGTCAAAGCACGGCGTTACTCACCCTCCCGCCTTCTCTTACCAGTGCCTAGACACTGGGTAGATAAATATGGGACAGCAGTGAATTTTGGGCCATTTAATGTAAGGCAGCAAATCACAGAACCAGCACACAGTCATTCTTTTATATTTGCTATAGTAAGATTACTTCTGAATCTCTCTGGGTCCAGAAAGCTTGTGGCAAACTACGGAAGAGTTAGACCGGAGCTGGGAAAGACTGACTGACTATGAGGAAAGCTAAGACAGCTATAGCCTTGAAAAGCCTCATTACAAGGTAACTAAAATGAGACAGAACAGACTTCCTGCACTGACAGATCTGCATGGGGAGATGGAGGTGTAAGTTAAATTAGTGGATTTTAAGTGTGCACCGTATCTGAAGGTAATAAAGGAAAACTAAGAAAGGTGATCTCTAGGCATAATATTTGAAATAGCTTCCTGACAGGAAAATCTCATGAAAGAAACTGAAAGACCATCACTTGTAGAATGCAAAATCAGACATGGCATACCACTAGAGATGTCGTAAAAAGAACTATCTTACACTATCTTACACTGTCAAATATTTAGGACAATTTATTGCATGCTCCAGATCTTCTCCCCCCCCCTCCCGATATCCATCATTCCTTTGCCTGTTGGCAAAGCCAAGAAGAAGTAACAAGACAAAACTTGGGAATAAGTGTAGGTACAAATTTTTATGAAGTCTTTGACATTCCTCATGACAACCTAGTAATCTTTAAAGCAACTTCTGTTCTATTGTTTACTGGCATGTGCAGTCAATACTAAAGTATCCAGATAGCGTGGGATGAGTCAAATAATAATTTAATGAGCCAGTTTTGCTTTATGTAAACTAATCTAGTGTGATACTTATCTGAAATGCAACAAAAAAAAAAAAAAAAGGACTGAAAAAGAATGGTCAGCGATCTGATCTTCCTGCAGAGATCCTCAATCTGTCATCACCCCGAGCTGGTAAATTCACAGAGAAGCACTGCAGAAGCACAGCTATCCAAGTCCAGGACTTTGGGCCTAAGCTAGTTCATGCAAAACTAAACTGCATGTCTGTGCATTCATGGTAGACTTAACCTGCAATCCAAACAATCTACCTATGTGTAACGATGACTCTGTAACAACACAACATCTCAGTAGCTTATTGCAGCTATGATCATGCTATCCTGCTAAAAAAGATGTGCAGCTTCACTGCAATATTCTGCTGTCAGCACAGGCTGTAAAGAATACAACAGATGTTAAGTATAAAAGGAATGAAATTTTTGCTTTTAACAGAACATGGGGCCTTATGGATTATCCCCACAAAGGAAAAATACAGAATTTTTCCAAGACAGTAAATGTGGTAAAATACATTTTAAAGTTAAAATCTACGGGAGTTGAGACAAAACAGTAATCAAAAGTATTGTGTAAAGAGTAAAATTAAAGTTAAAAGATGACAGCTGTGAAAAGACAAATTTAATTATGTGTGCCCCAGGTCACATGCACTGCATCCATCTCCGATGTCTAGTGCCTAACACAAAGTTTGCTGCTTTGAATATTACCTTCCTGTTTGTATTGACAGCTTGCAAAGAGATCAAGATGATGACTGGGAGAGAGCTTAATATTTTATAAATGGGGAAGGGCGGGAAGGGAAGAAATAATTAAATTTAAATCACTAATTGTATCTTGTCTTTGTATCACTACAGTAAGAAGGTGGCACCTACTTTTAGTCTGTAGGTTTACGATCATTTAAGAATATATTTTTCAGTGTCTTTCTAGCTACTGTGTGGACTGTAGAAGAACTAGTAATAGCCAGCATACTGAAGCTTAGAGTGCAGCAACTGTCAACAGCTAGAGAAGGATGTCACTGCAGTCTCAGATATCACTAATAACTCCTAGAAATTGCACACTTTAAGCAACATCCTCAGCATCTGAAGTTGATCTAAAAATATCATTCTTACTATTACTCACTTTGATCCTAATTTTGTATGTTTCAAAAGGCCACTGTTAAGTAAAATACAACCACAAGAAAATCTGAACTCAGGAACTTAGCAAATTTCTGTCCAAGCAGAATAGAACAAAAACTGGTAGAAGTTTTGCTTGCTGTAAATTCAACTTCAGAATTTCAGAAAAAAATATTCAAGCAGTCATATACAGGACTTGCTACCATTATCAATCCACTCTTGGAACTACTGTTCTAAACGCAGTGGGCATCTTAAAAGAGCTTTGAAAGTAGCCAAGATACCCAATGCATTCTAATACTATCCAGTATTTCCTCAACAGAAAAATGAATCAGTTCAGAAGAGCAGCCTCCTTGCCAGGAAACAGCATTAACGTCGCAATTTTGACTCAGGCCATTTATAAATTCAGCTCCTGAACTGAAAGCAGGCATTTCTGAGGAGAGGATATTTCATTCGTACACACAGACATTCATTACCCTTCCTCATTCCACTCTAAGTACCAAAAAACAATTATTTTTCAGCTTGGTGCAAACTTAGCAAACACTGCCTCCCCTCAGCTGCAAAGTTTAATTTATTTGCACAAGAGAAATGCTCAAGGCACTTTCTGTGCATACATAGCAAAGCAGCACATGCACATACATACCCCTTTCCCTTCTCCTGTCAATCTCCATGCTGCCAGTGTGAGATGTGATCATTGCCCTGCAACCTTCCCAGTGGTGATGCATCCCCAGATGTGATGCCACAGCCACACTGTCCCTCTGGGGACATGGGAGGCCCACAAGGATGAAGCAGAGGGGGTCCTGCACAGCTTGTGGGCTGGAGCTGGAGTTGTCTCTCCTCGCAGGACCCACACCAACATCACTGCGTTTAACACACGGCTTCTGCCAGACCAATGCCTGTAGTTAGGTCCAGTGCATGTCCCTACCTGTATTCATGCCCACTACGTTACCCTGTCACACTACATACCAAAACATTTTCACAAAAACCTGATGATCCACAGTGTGTATGCACTAGTATTTAGGAAAACCAAGAGAGGGGTGTGTATGGCCTCTTGGGCTGTATTGAATAATTTTATAAGGTGTGGATATAGAATCATAGAATCATTAAGTCTGGAAAAGACCTCTAAGATCATCAAGTCCAACCATCAACACCACATCACCATGCCTACTAAGCCATGTCCTGAAGTGCCACATCTACATGTTTTTTGAACGACTCCAGGGATGGTGACGCCACCACCGCTCCGGTCAGCCTGTTGCAATGTTTTGCAAACCTTTTAGTAAAGAAATTTTTCCTAATATCCAATCTAAACCTCCCCTGGTACAACTTAAGGCCATTTCCTCTCATCCCATCGCTTGTTACTTGGGAGAAGAGAGCAACACCCACCTCACTACAACCTCCTTTCAGGTAGTTGTAGAGGGCAATAAGGTCTCCCCTCAGCCTCCTCTTCTCCAGGCTAAACAACCCCAGTTCCTTCAGCTGCTCCTCAGAAGACTTGTGCTCCAGAATATTTTTATCTTTATATATATATACACACACACACACATATAAAAATATATAATATAGCAAAGAGTATGAATGAAGACTCCTAAAATTACTGTTAACTCTCATAAGAAAAAACCCCAGCCACATGGCTGTTCCAGTATACCAGCGGTCCACATTGCCCTTAAGATTCCTCATTTTATTATGCAGCAGAAGGTTTCTCAAAAGTCCAGATTCCTACAGCCATCAGCAGTCCAGGAAAAAAGGTACAAGAACCTACCATCACCAAAAATGTGAGTGATGAGCTTTGTGAGCACTTGCTTCAGGTTGAACTCCACCAGCCTCACGGCCTCCATGGTGTGACACTCTTGCTTGTGTGCAGTGCGATGACCTTGCTCAAACAACTGTAAGCCTTCACCATCTTTAACGTTGGAGAACAGCTAGAACAAAACCACAAAAACAGCAATGTTTTGCATCAATGACTTTCTAAACAAAAAGACAATGAAGTTTTGTTGATTTAAGTGGGAATCTTACATGCTAAGTCTACACCATGAAAAACAAATGTAAAGACTGTGCTTTTATACAAATTCTGTTCACTAAACAGAGACAAATCATCACAATAACAGAAATATTCAATAATGTTTTATTTCTGTACCATATCTTCAAATATGATTAGCTACAAGAGAATGTTAATTGATAACAAACACCTCTCTTTTTCTGATTCTGTTACTTTGAAAGTTATCATGCAGAACAAAGTACACTGTACAGTATATGTAAACTATATCCCAAAACCTACAATACACAATGGCATTTATCACAGCTTCAACTTTTTTTAGTAACTGAATGATGTAAAAGAAATACCAAAAAACCCAACACTTTTAAAAAGCTGTAATCAAATGAACTTAAAAAAACACTACAAGCCAAAAAAAACCCCACCCCCAAAGCTGGCAGTTTAATAAGACCTTTAGCTGCTTATATTTGATTCATCTTGGGTACAGTTTAATCATTTAAGGACTACCATTTTCCTGCATTTTCACACACAGAGCACCTTTCAGTGTACAAGAATTTTGTCTATGGGGCATTTAAGGATTCACGGTCTTGGTCTGGGGTTTCCAGATAAATCACAAACATGGGGTAGGCCGTATTTGGGATACAACAGATTTGCTCTTCATGCAGAGGCCACTGTCCACCACATCTGCAGCAAGTTGAAGGTTCCCGATTCCGGTACATCCCCAGACATTTCCGGCCAAGCAATCCTGGACAGACACATCAGCAAATCTACATCCTCTCAGAGAGGCCAATAAAACACCCTTGCTAAGCCATGTTGTTGGAGGCTCTGTGTCTTGGGGAGACAAGCAGGCAGTTTTACACTCAAGAGAGTTTTTGTTGGAAATCCTTACAGCTTTACAAAACCCAACTCTGTTAACTCAGGAGGTTAGGAAGAGCTAATTGAGAAAGTCTTTCGAGTGCCCTTTCCTATCCCTCCTCCTCCACCTTCCCATAGTCAACCAAGAACACACAGAGGGAAAACACACGCATTAAGATTTTCTTGACATTAAGCCTCCCAGCATAACTAGCTCTTAGTCAGGAGATGCCACGCACAGTGTGTAACCTTAACAACTCATGGATGCCCACAGAAGTTGTTTTAATTGCAGTTTGATGCCTTCAGTGCACTAAATGCTCTAAAAAAGTTCAGTTGAACCTCTGGTAGCCTACAAATGCTGGGCACAATTAATTAAGACTAGCGACTAGTTCATTTCAAAGAGACACAATGCATGCAGACAGAGTCTAAGTTCAGACAGCATGCAAACTAGCAGCAAAATGGATTGCAGGAATAAAAAAATTTAACTTTGTATTGCTAGTCAGAAGGAGACTTGGCTGGCAGATTGAGAAAACGCCTCTCAAGTTAATCTCCTTAGTGTACTGCAGAAAAATACAAAACAAAAAAAGGAAAAAGAGAAATACCGAAGAAAACGATTATCCATCAGTCTAACAAAAATGCCTTTACTAATCAAAAGGCAGCAGCTTGACAAAACTAGGTATTACACTTTTAAATAACAGATTCTTTATTCAAGTGCTCATCTGAAAGATTAAACCTCCTTCTGCCTACTGGCATTACTTCTGCACTGGCTGGAAGAAGCAGACGACACCCACCCTGTAACAAATTTACTGTCAGCAGGGCAGATCAGTCATCCAGCATGTGGTTTTGAAAGCCAGGAGATATTCACAGAGGCCAGCATTAGCCTAGGGAGGTTAATCACCTTATGCTCACTGGGGGGGGTCAATGGACAGAAACAGGCTCCCTCCCGCAGGAACCTGGAGCAGCTAAATTAGGTTCCTGCTCTAAACTACCCTCTACAGGTAGCTATTTTTTCTTTCTATCGACAGAAGAGACTACCCTCAGTAAGCCAGAAACACCCGTCAGGCCACAGATTTTCCCTCTTTGGACTAGAATACACTGTATTTATACATTAGAAGACATATTTGTTATTTTCCTCATCAGAAGTATTTTAGGACAAGAAAGTCTCTTCTTCCTTTTCCCCTTCATTCCTCCCCTCACCCCCCAGCTTAAAACTGGTTCCTCTGTGAGGAACAGATAGTCTGGACACTGCCTTTAAAATACAGCATTTGTATCAACAAGTACATAGAAGTACTTTTCCTTACCACTGTATTATTCCTGGAATGTTGATATGGCAATTACAATTTACTAGAATAGAATTTTGCTTCAGAGAGTATCAGAAGTGGCAATAAAATATGCTCAGTGCAAGAGACATTAGAGTAGATTTAGTCATACCCCAGCCCTCTAACCTGCCTGCCTCTTCATCCTGCTAAACCAGCCACATGAACCATCTCCTTCTCCACACCAGGACAAGCATCCATGCAGCAGTGCACTGAGCCATGCTGGAATGGTGGATCTGGATGAGAAGTAACCCAAGAGATGGGAAGAAATTGAGGGACATGAAAACAGGCAAATTCAGCTCAGTAATCAATTATCAGCATACTGGTAGCACCAAGAGACATGCTGGCATTTGGGACGGGGCTGGGCCACTTGTCGCACAGGCATGAGCCTACACCAGTTCGCACAGGCTGTGAAAGCACAGCCTTAGGGGAGTCCCTCAAAAGACAGGTAGTGGCAAGGCAACAGCCCCCCCTTGCAGTCAGGCACCGAGAGGCACTTTGGTATTCTCCATAGAAGCTCCATCAGGTCTTGTCAACTCCAGCACAGCTGTGGACGGGGTTATATGAAGAAAAAGAAATGCCTTACAGTTGTATTAATATTTATTCCCTTCTTTCCATTCAGCAACATTGCTATGTCAATATGAGCAGCTTTAAACTGATACACCAATTTCACTATTACAATGATTGAACTGTGCTAAGTACATGTCTTGGATTAGAAACACTTCAACATTTCTATATACATAAAGCCAGGAAAGTCAAAGCTTGAATAAAATGAAGAATCACCTACAGTTACTCCCTTTCGATGTCAATTCTTCTCAAGCACATATCTGAGCAAATAGAGAAAAAAAAAAAATCTGTCTTGCATAAAACACTGACACAACCAAGATGCCACAGTTTCATGTACATCTATTCCTTCAGCGCAGAATAAAAACAAATGCACTATTTTATTGTATTGAATATGATCAGTCATTACTACTACCAGAAAAAGACATTTCCTGTAGCCATAAATCGAGCACCTATGTGTCTGTCTAGTGTAAGGACAAGAAGTTTTTTCTTTATGTGAAGGTGTGCAAAACATTGAATATTGTGTCATCAAAAAAATTAGTAATTACCAGAATTTATCTGCATATCTGACTGGTGCTGCATTACAAAGGAGAATGCAGAAAGGAATCAAAGTGACCTTACCATGTGGCATGAAATTTACTCACAATTTAGCTCATAATAAGAATGAAGTCATATTTAGTAACATGTAACAGCCAGAAGACACCAAGTTTCAATTGGACAAATACAAATGAAGCTATGCTCCTGTAAAAGCACTTAATGGTATTTCTCAGCCTGGCACAAAGGGCAGAAGTCACATGTGTGATTTCAGTAAAGACCCCAACATTTCTTCAGTCACTTGACAGACTTCTTTTAACCTCACATCACTTCATTATCCATGTGTTTAGGATTCAGTCCAAGATTAAGTGTCTCTTTACAGGATGGCATTCATAGTAGGTTTCAGATCAGAAAGATCTGTAACTACATCCTGCCTTTCCACAATGCAGTTGTGTATTCCTCCTGCCGGTCACGGGTACACCAGCAATTAAGATAATGAATACATAATGCTCATCTACTTATACTCACAGACAAACTGGCACTTAGCTCTACATGAGGATCTGCATGTGGCAACACTCAACCTTGCCACACCAAATACATTTTGACTCACCAGCCCTGATAAATATCCCTATAAATAAACAAACAGCTGCACTCTAAATCCACTTACCAATAGCAAACCATTTCCACAACATTTAAAATGGGCTGTAACACTCAACCAATGGATCAGGAACGATGAAGATGGTGCCACTTGAAGATGGCTCATCAAAAAAGAAAACCTAATGCCAGTCCCAATTGGCCTCCAAGACTAGGAAACCTGTAAACCTGCACCCCCACCCAGGCAGTTTCAGGTGCAAGAATGATACAGAGCCCATCATCCGCACAACAGAATGCCCTTCGCTGCATATCGATAAGCATTTGTTTTGGGAGAAAATGGCAAAGATCACTTCAAACAAGCTTGCAGGTAGTCACCTTAACTTCTGGATCCTTCTGTTTTCACTCCCGCAAAGACAGTTTTGTGTGGTTTGTTTTTTTTTTTAAACTTAAAGTGTTTCCGAAAAACCCCAAATCATTGCCACATTTAAGGGAAAACCATACAGATGTTTTTGAACAGCAAAGAAAAAGCAACACTGCTACACAGATCTCAATTATGAGACATACAAGATAGGGCTCAAACTGTTCCTGTGGCAATAGAAATTCCTTTATTTTTAAGCACCCTAGGCTTCCTAAATATACTTGTAGACATTTTGCTCTTTTTTTTCCTGCACAATTTAAAAATAGCATTGAATAGATTTAACTGCTTTCTTCTACAGATTTAGCTGCTTTATTCTGAAAAGCATTGTTGGATTTTTTTTTTTTTAGCTGGATGAGACAAAGTAAGACAAAGTTTGAAAAAACATTTTTATATAAAGTCTTTGCAATAAAAGATGCACTAGCAGCTTCCAAACTTTCTAGACCATGGACCACTATGAAAATCTCTTGTATCTTCTGATGCCCTTCACTGTCAAATTTTCAACTAAAAATAACAAAGAATACAATGTGGGTCCTCGGACCAGTGAAGCTCTGTTTATTATGGCATGATTTATACACCACAACTTGGAAAATACTGAATAATAAAACATTCACAACTCGGGTAGACATCTGCAAGAGTGAAGTCAGTTCCACC